TTGCTGATTACTATGCTAGTTGTGACAAATGACATGGTATGGCTTATTGTATTCAGATTATAGCTGTCGTGTCATTTAATAAAAATAATCCTTTTTTGAAGAAAACCTATCCCAGCGTTTACACATGGTAGTAAATAATCGACTGATTATAGGTTTTGTGGTTTCAGTCAATCTTTTGCTTGAAATTGATCTTTAAATTGAACCACAAAAAAGGTTAATTTGGATGAATTTGTATTCAAATATTTTGTCGGGACCAATTGTTCTTTTTTAAAAAATGATGGACGCACCCATTTAGAGACCATAATGCATATATGTACAAAACCACTATACATTTATTTTAAGATAAAAAAATCATAAAAAGTAGCAATAGTCCTGTAGTATTCGCTATCTTGCAGGAATTTATTTTGTGTACTGTCAGCTGAAATGTTGGTCATGTGATCTTAGCTAAATGGAACTCTGGGCCTCATATTCAGGCAGAGTGGGCCAATCAGGGGTCAAAGCTTTGAATCGCTGAGGTGTGTATGTATGTGTAATTTTTAGTTTGAGCTTTTGAGCTCTGTAAACAGGAGATTCAACACGAAAAGCATTCCTTAAACAAGATAACCCCCCCCCCCCCCCCCCCAATCACCACACTGAATGTGACCCGAAGGCGTGTTTCACATGGGCTTTAGCTTGTATAAGAGCAGTGTGAGCTTTTATGAAATTTTGCAAAGCTCTCGGCAAGCGTATTTTTCTAAGCCTTTAAAGTACCCTGTTTGGAAATGCTATACACATATCTTGATGGGAGTGCTTGTTGTCACTTCAGTCAAGCTGCTAGCAAGCTTCAGCAGGCTTTTGACAAGCTTCAAGTCATGCAGAAGCCTGCTAGCACCTTATTTAACCACTTGCCTACCGGGCACTTTTACCCCCTTCCTGCCCAGGCCAATTTTCAGCTTTCAGCACTGTTGCACTTTGAATAACAATTGCGCAGTCATGCAACACTGTATGACATTTTTATCAGTTTGTTTTCACATAAACAGAGCTTTCTTTTGGTGGTATTTAATCACCACTGGGTTTTTTTTATTTTTTGCACTATAAACGAAAAAAGCAAAACCTTTTGAAAAAAAAAAGTTTTTCTTTGTTTCTATTATAAAATTTTGCAAACAGGTAAATTTTCTCCTTCACTGATGTGCGTTGATGAGGCTGCACTGATGGGCACTGATGAGGTAGCACTGATAGGCACTGATAGACTGCACTGATGAGGCGGCATTGGTGAGAATTGATGAGAGGCACCGATGATGCTGCACTGATAGGCGGTAATGATGGGCACTGATAGACTGCACTGGTGGGAATTGAAGAGGCACTGATGATGCACTGAAAGGCGGCATTGATGGGCACTTTTGGGGCTGCACTGATGATCAGGGCACAGATATTCAGTGCCCTGATTATCAGTGCAATTGTGCTCTGTGACACTTGCCGGTCATAAGCAGTACTTTCCTCACGCTGTGACATTGTGAGGAAAGTGCTGCCGATAACCGCCAACTGTATTTACTTTGTGATCAGCTGTGTCATTGGACACAGCTGATAACGTGGTTTAAGGCTGCTGTGATTGGCCTTTTACCTTACACACAGCTGATCACAGACAGCACTGCTGGGGGTGCGCAGGGGGCTTGTTTTGGGAGGAGGCCATATGACGTCCTCGCAGAACTGGACAACCTGTCTTGATCCAGCACTGTGCCCATCTGCAGTGGCACTTCCTCTTTTCCTGGGACACAGTGGCAGCCATTGGCTCTTGTTGCTGTCAATCAAACCCTGTGAGGACAGAGTAGGGGGTGTGGCCAGGTCATGTTATGTGTGTGCCTTTGGATATACACAGCCCAGCTGTGTGCCACCAATAGCAAGTGGCTTACTATGGCGGCGCACATTGAAGAGGAACCGCCGTGGATGCTGGCAGGGTACCCCAGAAGAGGAGCTTCGAGGCCACTCTGTGCAATACCATTGCACAGAGCAGGTAAGGCTATCATGTTTGTTATTCTTCAACAAATATTTTTACTTTTTCAACTGCAGTAAAGTGGCAAACAGAACTCCCATTAGGTTATGTGTTCAGCATTTACAAACTAGAGTTGAATTATACTTTAAAAGTTTCAACAAATCTTGCTGAAAGCTCAGTCAATGCTGTTCAGGTTGCAGTTGATTGTGAAACAGGCCTAACGTTTTGAAAGAAATTACAGCAATTTACCTCAGCACTTATCTTGTCTGCTGCTTCTCCTTTAAAAGCTTGCCCTTTCTTGAATGAGCCAGTTCAAAGATCCCTGGTCATGGGTGGCTCTTGTTGCCTTGCATGGTCCTGTTGGAGCCACCCTTTCATGCCCACTCCTGGAACAAAGACTCCAGGCTGACATGTACAGGCAGCTGGAGAGGAACGACCGGGGAACTTCTATACAGTGGTATTTAGAATTATGGGAGTTGTAGTCACAAGGAGGAGGATTTGGGGACCTGTGATGTAACGAGCACCCGCTTCACGACTGGAAGTTCGGAGAAGCATCACAGAACAGGCCGAAAGGCCTGCAGTTTTGCTAAGTTGTAAGTGTTTGTGGATTTGTAAAGCAACCATTTTATGTCCTATGCACGGCTGACCAATACAAATGTAATTAGGATAAAAATTGTGAGGCTTTAGCACTACTGTAACTTAAGTGTTAAAAACTTGACATCAATAGGAAGACAAGTATTTGTGTTTCAATGTTTACTTCTCCTTTTTTGTCTTGTTAAAAGACAAATAAAGACTTGTGGACAGAATGTTTATTTTACCAAGGGCTAATAGATACAAATTTAAATTTGCCTGTGGCTTTTTATATTTGTGTTCCTACTGAAGAACTAATCCGTAGCAGTTAGCAAAATGTATTGACCTACAATCCGGTTCCTGTGATTAGCTCTGCTCCAGTATAGGCAGACAGTTGGTCCCTCTGCTCTTACATTGTGGCTGTAAACCTCTGAAATGAAAAATGAACAAAGCATATCCCTCTATAATTTGTACTAGCCTCAATCCCAAGCACCTAGTATGGTTCATATTTGATCTCTCCTTCCTCTATTTGTATGAGTCACTTCTGACAAGTTATGGCAATATAGAAAGATTTTTTTTTTTTTTTTTAATGGTTGAGCCGGATGTACATTTTTTTTTTTTTCTTTTTTCAGCCAGACTATGTAACTAAGATAGATAGTGTGTGATATATATATATATAACACGGATGTGGGTTAATTTTATCAAAGAAATGTAGCAGAATACAGTTTAGCCTAAATTTATGAAGAAAGATTAATCATTTGCAAAATTCTATAACAGAAACAAAGAAAAATGTTTTTTTTTTTGGTATTGTCCAATTATATAGAAAAAAAAAAATCTAGAAAACACAGTGGTTAATAAATACCACCAAAAGAAAGTTCTGTGTATCTCAAAATTGATAAAAACTGCCATTCAATTTGTGAAAGTGTTGAAAGCTAAACATTGGCCAGGGCGGTAAGGGGCTTAAACTGAATGGGTTGTTTTTCAAGGTGAGGGGTCACATATCCTTTAAATCAATGATCCATTTGTTGCTTGGAATTTATTCGTAAGAAAACTACACTGTGAAAGATGAATGTCAGGTTGTTTTTTTTTTAAGTCTCTGCAGTTGTAAAATGAGAAGGGCAGTTCTCAGATCTTTTGTCATGTATATAACTATTAACATAATTTTACTAAAATGATTCTGTCACTATGAATCCCTCTATTTCATCTTGATATGTGTGTGATAAGCCAGGGAAGTAATTTTTACCTGCTCTGTGTTCTGATAAGCATTCTGTACTTCCAACTAATCACATAGCAAAAATTGAAGAGATTAAACACCTCCACTGAATTGAACAGGATAAACAATTAATCACTGTGTTGAAGCATTAACCTCTAGCGATTAATCACAGGAAGTCGCATAAAATAACACCATGTTTTGCTGAGTGATTACTCCTTAGAGATTAATCACGCAGACTAAATTCACCCATGTAAATGAGCCATTAGGTGACCCTCACGTGTCACCAACTTTAAAGCTGAACTCCAGTCCGCTTCAAGCAGGACTAAACCCATCGATTTATCGGTTTTCCCAAAACGATGACAGTGACATTCAAGGCTTGCAATGGATGATAACTCGGTTGCTTGTGCTCTCAACCGGAACGGTCATGCTATGAAATGGCTGGTGTCATATCTGATCACATGTGTACAGTACCAGGGCAACTGCAGATCCAGCAGACTAAGATGACAGCTACCTTGGCTGCAAAGAAGGGTTTAGTTTTTGTTTTAAAATTGTCTGTCTGTCAGATTTAACAGAGGAACACCTACTTTATTCTTCCCTTCCTTGGCAGCTAGCGCACGTTTCTGCAGCCCTGGAGTATGGTTAAGGGCTCATCATCCTAATGTACAATGTAGGACCACTGGTACTGCATTGTATGTGGATACATCGGTGAGTGGGCTGCCACAAGACTGGCGAAGAGGAGCAGCTCTGTAAGACAAGTCATTTAGCAGGAAGGAAACATTTGGTAGCTTGGAATATGGCAAGTAGTTCTGCTTACTTCATGCCCCTCGGCTAAACAAGCAGATCCCTACTATACAAAAGGTTGAGCTACCAGTGGGGGGACTGGAGTTCAGCTTCAAAATATACCTCTTTGCTTGTTGAAGCTGCTGAATTTTACAGTAGCTGACTTTTGAGGCTCTAGCTTTGTTACATGGATTGAAATGGACCTATAAGTAACTCTTTATGCCTGGGGGGGCATTGAACCCAGACAACTTTTTTAGCAGTGCCACTATGTCCTGATTAACTTGGCAATAACATTGATTAATGTGTGTACCTTAAAGTGTTACTAAACCCACAACATTAAAATCAGTCTGTATATGCAGTAAAGCATGCTTGTTATACTCACTGTGAAACCTAAGGGGTTAATCCTCTGCATTGTGTAAAAAGGCTGTTTGGTCCTGTTTTCTCTGCCCTGCCTCTTGTTCAAATGTCCACCTGAGAAGACAGACAGAACCCGTAGTCGCATGCACATACTCAGTTTAGTGTGTATTGCTAGAGTTTTTTTTTTTCTCTTGGGAGAGTGCATGTGATCAGCACAGGGCCACTCAGTACTGTTCTCACAGAAGGTCAGAGGTTTTGCATCCTCCTAGAGCAGAAAGAAAACTCCTCCTACAAGCTTTAACCATTCTCTGCGGAGGTCACAAGACTGCTCTAACTGCTAATGAGAAAGGTATTTAGCAATTCATATTTACTAAAATAATTACATTTCCATGTTGTGTGTACTGTGGGAGACCAGATATAGTGAATGCAGGGTCCTGGGAGACCAGATATAGTGAATGCAGGGTCCGGGGAGACCAGATATAGTGAATGCAGGGTCCGGGGAGACCAGATATAGTGAATGCAGGGTCAGACAGATATAGTGAATGCAGGGTCCTGGGTTTAGTTACACTTTAATGAAATGTATTTTTTTTTTTAAATAACTTGTTCTTTAAAAAAAAAATCTGAAAATGGTTAGGTAGGCAAAAATAATCATAGTCATTGTTAATTTAGCCAATGTATACTAACACCAATATTTTTTTTTTCAGTATCTTTTATTAAGAGAAGTATGGGTTATGGGGGAAAAAACCCCATTATATTCACCTATGTGGATGCAACATCAATCCAATGCTGCATCTGTCGTCCGCTGGCTCTGCACAGAGAACTGAGCAATCACTACCCCCCCCCCGCTAGCAGAGAGCAATGACTGACAGTCACCGGCTCTCTGCTCTGCCCCTCCATGCTCATTGAACTGCTGGTCAATGAAGGGGGTGGGAGGGGCTGGCTTAGGCTCTCGGCAGATTGCTGAGAGCTTGAGGCAGCTGCCAGTTTAAGCTTGGGACTCATAGGAGAAGTACAGCCAAAATAGCTTTGGCTCTACTTCTCATTTTAAGGTTTTACAAATATAAAATAAGTAATGTATAAACCATAATTACATGCACTTAACTCTCACACTAGAGTATCAATATGGCCTCATGCACATGAGCAGAAAGAATGCTGCTAAGAGACATCTGGAATGTGGTGGGGTTTTTTTTGCCTCTAAAAGTAGCATGTTGTAGGACAATGCTCCAGAGCATAAAACATTCCCCAGACCTGCATTCAGAGAGGAGAGTTTTCCAGTGTAATTTGCAATCTTATGCTTGTAAATGTGACTAAACAGGCACTGATGCGCCTACATTTATTCTAGTGGCTAAAATAAATTAATATTCTAGCCAATAGAATGAGTTTACGCTCATGTAAATGTGCATAAAAATGTGGCTTTCGAGGCATTTTTTTTCTGGCAGCATATTTGGATAATTGTTTTCATACACCTGTGTGCATGAGTCCTAAGGGGTCCTTGCATCAATTATGGAGTATTCGTTCTTTTCCTAGTGAATCAGATTGGAGTTCCCTCTTGTCAACAGACCTTTGAGGAAAGGGGTGAATAATTGGGGATGTAGAGTACTCGGAAATACGGGCAGGGGTATGGCATTTACCACCACCGGACAGTTTATTAGGTACACCTTGCTAGTACCGGGTTGGACCCCCTTTTGCCTTCATAGCTGCCTTAATTCTTCGTGGCATAGATTCGACATGGTGTTGGAAACATTCCTCAGAAATTTGGTCCAAATTGACATGATAGCATCATGCAGCTGCTGCATATTTGTTGGCTGCACATCCATGATGCAAATCTCTTGTTCCACCACATTCCAAAGGTGCTCTATTGGATTCAAATCTGGTGATTGTGGAGCCCATTGGAGTACAGTGAACTCATTGTTATGTTCAAGAAACCAGTTTGAGATGATTTGAGCTTTGTGACATGGTTGGATGTTATCCTGCTGCAAGTAGCCATCAGAAGATAGTCATAAAGGGATGGACATGGTCAGCAACAATACTTGGGTAGGCCGTGTCATTTAAACAATGCTCAATTGGTACTAAGGGGCCCAAAGTGTGTCGAGAAAATATCTCCCACACCATTACACCATCACCACCTACCTGAATCATTGATACAAGGCATGAGGGATCCATGTTTTCATGTTATTTACACCACATTTTGACCCTACCATCTAAGTTTCGTAGCTGAAATTGAGACTCCTCGGACCAGACAATGTTTTCCCAATCTTCTATTGTCCAATTCTAGTGAGCCTGTGTGAATTGTAACCACCGTTTCCTGTTCTTGGCTGACAGGAGTGCCGCCTGGTGTGGTCGTCTGCTGTTGTAGGTCATCTGCTTCAAGGTTCGACGTGTTGTGTGTTCAGAGATGGTATTCTGCATACCTTGGTTGTAACGAGTGGCTATTTAAGTTACTGTTGCCTTTCTATCATGTCAAACCAGTCTGCCCATTCTCTGACATCAACAAGGCATTTTTCATCCATACAACTGCAGCTCACTGGATATTTTATCTTTTTTAGGACCATTCTCTGTAAACCCTAGAGATGGTTGTGTGTGTGAAAATTCCAGTAGATCAGCAGTGTTTGAAATACTCAGAACAGCCTGTCTGGCACCAAGATCCTTGCCACATTCAAAGTCACTTAAATCTCCTTTCTTACCTATTCTGATGCTCTGTTTGAACTTCATCAAGTCATCTTTACCACGTCTAGATACCTAAATGCATTGAGTTGCTGGCATGTGATTGGCTGATTAGCAATTTGTGTTACCAAGCAATTGAACAGGTGTACCTAATAAAGTGACCGGTGAGTGTATAAGTGTTCTCTATAACCAGGATATTAAGAGCTCTTTATCATGCGCTAATTTTTTCCAATTAGTTGATTATGTAAGCTTAAATTGTATTACTTTTTTTTGTAATACTGTAATTGTATTTGGTAAGGGCAGTATTAAACTAAGGAACACTGCCATCTTCAGGCTCCAGTGACCTCTTCAGCCGGAAAGCTGTCACTAAATTATTAGCATAAGGTTAATCACATGTTGTTTGTACAGCTATGTCCAACTACTAGCCATTCTCATTGTTCAGTATTATGCGTTTTAATTACTTTAGAGGACAGTGGGGAGGAAATCCTCTCCAGCTTTTCCTGGAAAGAAGATAGTGACAGGCAAAAAAAAAAAAAAAAAAAAAACAAAATTAAAAACCATGATCTTTATTTCCTATGAGTTTGTGGAAGCCTGCTGGTACCCTTAGACATGGGAATCGTCATCTACAGCACATTAGGTTCTCAGCTGCTATACTAACTTTCTAAGTTCAGTTCTGGTGTCTATTACGCAGTTTACAATGGCTACGATCTGATTTTGATCATTAGCTATGTATGTATACATCTGTACGTGTACTGTTTGTGTGCTTAATAATATTTAGATTTACAGTCTGCTGTTAGAGGAAATAAAACTACCTTGGCTCCACACAAGAGATACAGATGTCTGCTTCCTGTAATGTTTCTCAGTGTTTTTTCTCTACAGTGTTTGAGGGAAAAAAAGACATCCAACATATGGTCTCAGTAACAACAAACTCAGCTGTATCTGTTAGCGCAAGACTCCAACTGTATAATAGTCTCATGCTTCCAGAGGGAAGGTAACAGGATGTGGTGTGCTAGGCAGAGTCGAAAGGGGGCAATGTAGAATAGAAGTACATTTTTTTGTCACTGTTGCTTTATTTGTGTGCTACATTGCAATTACCTGATCCTTGTAACAACGTACCCACATATAAGTCTGACATGATTTAGGTGAGTCTGGGCATAGTTTGAAAATTCATAACACATGGGGTTTCCTTACAATGTATCAATTGTGTCTTTTTTGTTTTTTTTTTTTTTTTTTTTTAATATGCAAAAGAAAATACATTTTTAGTCCACAAAACACTTAAAAAGTTCTGCAGCCTTTACCGTACATTAATCAATTTCTACAGATATTTTAACTGTTGGGGTCCATTCACATTATATGCTATGACTGGCATTTTTTTTTTTTTTTTTTTTTTTTTGCACCTGCTGAATGGGACATAGAAAACCCAACATACACACATTTACCTCTGTAATCTTACTTTCACTTTGGAGAAGTTTCTTCTAACTTCCTGTTGTGTTTTGTAAGATTCATAGGCAGGAAGTGAAGGAAACTTTCCCTGACTGGACATAGACCAAAAAAAAAAAACACCTGACGTGTGTCTTATCTGTTCCCTAATCTTTAAAAAAAAAATAAATTACATAAACTAGCAGTAATCTATGGAGCAACAATCTGTGTTATAATCTTTATGAGCTGACTTTCAGGGCTCATTCACACTAACCACATGCTAAAATGCGCCAGTGGTTACATTTATCTGCCAATTCCCTGTAGCAGCTAGAATTGTTAAATTGTTACAAAGATGTACAGTATGTGTTTCCTGTGCTTTTCAGCTCCAGCCAGTGGTCATAATGCATTATTTTACTACTGCCCATAATACAAAAAAATGTGCTTAAAGGCCTGAAGAGCATTGGGTTTTGCCCAATTTGTTGAGAAGAAATGTACATGCAATAGACTCCTAAAAGGCAAGAAATGCTTATAATTCAGATGATTTCATACTGCTGCCCCCAGTCTACAGTGCATCGCTTCCCCGAACTTCTGGTTGGGGATCGCACACTTACAGCTTCACAGAAAGTGCCCCTTCTCGGACCATATGTCCCATAATTCCAAGCATGATTTGCATCCAGTCCTCTCTGGCTGCCTGTGCTTGTCTGGACAGGTGGCCTGCTAATATCGGCTTGTGGTCTCTCTCCTTTGAGCGCACACACACACAAGGGTGGCTCCATAGGAACCCACATAAGAAGGGAACCATCTGAGAAGATACAATTTGGGTCAGCAACCTTTGCACCTGCTGGGGAAGACTGCATCAGCTCTTGCCATAATGTTCATGTTTGCCTTGTAACTTTCCCTTGTCCAGCACTGACAGCTCTCCACACCATTTTTTCTGGATGGTGTCTTCTCTCGGTCATTGGCCACTGAAGAAATCATCCCGGACATTCACACTGGAGATGTATCATTCGGGATTTATTCTCCAGGAGTAAGCCCATAGTGTACCCATACTATTAAAGGTTTTTTTTTTCCTTTTTCGTAGGTCTCTTCAGGAAAAAAAAAAAATTAAAGTCTCTGTTACCAAAAAACTCCAGCTTATAGCATTTTATTTTCTCCACTTTAGTCCTGCTTTAAATCAGTTGCATTGATTTGCACATATCCGGATGTGTTTCAGCCCGCCTATGATTTTGATTATTTCATAACTGACCGTCCTAACTATGAATTTTACTTGAGTTGAATTATCTTTGTTTTGAATGGAAAATTGAATAACAGAATAAACAGGGAAACTACAATTGCATATTGTGGAACAGCTGGAAATCGTCTCCTACAACACTCCAGTTCCTCAACACACAGCAAATTCTTAAGAACTAGAAAACAATATATTCTCTGGATGTCCTCTCTCTGGCTTATAGGTGTGCCATTGTGTATGCAGAAGTAACAGTCAGGGAAGTGTGTAAGATGATACAATAAAGATCTTCAAGAACTCTGGTCTAATTAAGAAAATTAATTGTCTTTTTTATTTTTCTATTTGTCTTACCTCCCTGTGGGAAGTCCTGTAATTGCTCCTTCTCCACCCCTGAATGAACAGCAGAAATCCTTGCTGTGCTACTTTTTCTTTTATAAATTTACAGTATTTGCCATGGGACCTCAAGCACTGAGCTCGGATTCTGTAGAGTTGCTTTAAAGGGGTAGAGAGCAGAATCATATCTTTGAGGAATCCTTTTGTCTAGACCAGGGCTTCTTAACCAGAGGAAGCCTTATGATGATGATGGGTGTTTTCTCAATGCAGTGCAACATCTTAAGTTTGTCCACATTCTTCAAGTCTCTAAACAACACCACACTATACTATAGGCGCTTTCACATGGAGTGCTTAGATGTCTTTTGTATTTGCGATTTATTATTATTATACAGGATTTATATAGCGCCAACAGTTTGCTCAGCGCTTTATTACTGTTTTAATATCAATAAATATGATTAACATTTCTGACTTTCTTTCAGCTGTTCTGTTCCTAGCTAGTCATATGTCAAGTAAAACAGAACTGTTGACCTATTTTGAAGTCATGCTGCTGTCTAAGATGAGACTGATGAATCTGATGATGATGTCAGCAGTCTGATGATGAGGGGTAGAAGAACATATTGGGCAATTGGGGGTCAGTAATTGTAAAAAGGTTGAAAAAAAAAAATAGACATGCTTGTGGAGTTGAAATACTCATTTTATTTATTTATTTTTATCTTTACCTGCTCTGTCTTGTAACAAACAATACCCAGCTGCTTTAGATGAAAACTCTGATATCCTAAAATCTACTGTATATAAAATGTACAAAATGGGAGGTGTACGTATCAATCAATTTGCATCAACCAGTCAGGTGGGCTCTAATCAAGACCTAACATATAAAGTGGATATAAAAAGTCCACACACCCCTGTTAAATTGTCAGGTTTCTGTGATGTAAAAAAAAAAGAGAGAGATTATTATTATTATACAGGATTTATATAGTGCCAACAGTTTGCACAGCACTTTACAAAATGAAGGTAGACATTACAGTTACATTACAATTTGGTACAAGAGGAAACAGAGGGCCCGGCTCGTTAGAGCTTACAATCTAGGAATATAAACCACTTTTTCCACCTTTTAATGTAACCTATAAACTGTACAACTCAGTTGAACAACAGACTGAAATCTTTTAGATGGAGGGAAGTAAAAAAAAAAAAAACTAAATTAATATGGTTTCATAAGTGTACATACCCTTAAACTAATACTTTTGTTGAAGCACCTTTTGATTTGATTCCAGCGCTCAAGTCTTTTTGGGTATGTGTCTATCAGCATGGCACATCTTGACTTGGCAATATTTTCCCACTCTTCCTTGCAAAAACAAGGTGAAGCCATTCCTTTGTTGATTTGGATGTATGCGTTGGGTCATTGTCATGCTGAAAGATGAAGTACCTCTTCATGTTCAGCTTTCTAGCAGAAACCTGAAGTTTTGTGCCAATATTGACTGGTATTTGGAACTGTTCATAATTTTCTCTACCTTGACTAAGGCCCCAATTCCAGCTGAAGAAAAAGAGCCCCAAAGCATGATGCTGCCACCACCATGCTTCACTGTGGGTATGGTGTTCTTTTGGTGATGTGCAGTGTTGTTTTTGCACCAAACATATCTTTTGGAATTATGGCCACAAAGTTCAACCTTGGTTTCATCAGACCATAACACATTTTCCCACATGCTTTTAGGAGACTTCAGATGTGTTTTTGCAAAATTTAGCCGGGCTTGGATGTTTTTATTGGTAAGAAAAGGCTTCCGTCTTGCCACTCTACCCTTAGCCCAGACATATGAAGAATATGGGAGATTGTTGTCACATGCACCACACAGCCAGTACTTGCCAGATATTCCTGCAGCTCCTTTGATGTTGCTGTAGGCCTCTTGGCAGCCTCCCATACAAGTTTTCTTCTTGTCTTTTCATTAATTTTGGATGGATGTCCAGTTCTTGGTAATGTCACTGTTGCGCCATATTTTTTCCACTTGATGACTGTTTCACTGGTTTCCATGTTCCTGTTTTTTGTATGGATATGTCATTATGGATTAGGAGCTGCATTGTTTACTGGTGCAGATTGTTGTTGGGTGTTTTTCTGTTTTCTACTTGTATCCCAAAAATATTAAAAAGAAATAAAAAAAAAAAGGGGACTGGGAGTACAATGCAGTCATGGAAAATTTGAATCCAAAAATATTGTTGCATAACACAATGAACAAAATCTATAGGAATGACAGTTTCAGGTGTACCCACCCTTTCTCATGTTCAAACTGTCATTCCTATTTTTTTTAATTGTGTTGTATAAGGATATTTTTGGATTAAAATTACTGCATTGCACTCCCAGTCCCTGTTTTGTGAGATAAATGTATACTAATCAACTGTCTGTCTATCCTTTTTCCTGAGTTAAACTTTAAGCTGCATGTTTTAGAATACCTTTCATTTTAATCAGTGTAGAGTTGTCTTTTAACATTTTAATAGTATACAATGCTGTGCTTGGTTTTAACAAATAAATACAGTATAATATTCGCTTTTGGATAAGCATTTCCTGAGGCTCTATTTAAAACCTCAAAGCAGTTTGCAGAAAGCTGTGTTATTTCCTTTTAAACAATACATATGCATTATGTTGACCCTTTGTAGAACTGGATGCTTCATTCAGGTTACCATAGAAATTTTCACACATAAAACTGATACACCTTCTGTCTGCCATGATTACCTGCTATCAGACCCTTCTCATCTTTTAAGGTCAAGTATGTTTTAGTGCTCTTTGTGCTTCATTTAATAAACTATCCAAAAATAGTGTGTTGCCTATAGCAACCAGAAAGATTAAAGTGGAATTTAGCTTTAAAACGTCCCTCACTACCCTTTTAACACGTACAGTTCTAGCCAAAAATATTGGCACCTCCTGTATTTCTGTCAGATAATGCACCACTTCGCCCAGAAAATGGTTGCAATTACAAATGTTTAGGCATTCTCGTGTTTATTTCTTTTGGTTGTATTGGTATAACACAAAAAGTGGACAAATAAAAAAAAAAAAAAACAAATCAAATCTGAAACATTCCACGCAAAACCCCAAAATGGACTGGACAAAATTATTGGCACACTGAATTTAATATTTGGTAGCTCACACCTTGGAAAAAAATAACTGAAATCGGTCACATCCTGTAGCCATCAATGAGTTTCTTACACCTCTCTACTTGAATTTTGGACCACTTTTTTTTGCCAACTGATCTATGTCTCTCAGATTGGACGGGTTCCTTTTCCAAACTACTGTTTTGAAATCTCTCCACTGGTTCTCTATGGGATTGAGATCTGGACTTGGTGCTGGCTAGTTCAGTACTGTCCAGCACTTTGTCTGAAATCATTTCTTTTTGATATGTGCTTTGGGTCATTGTCCTGCTGTAAGACCCACCACCTCTGACGGAGATGCAACTTTCTGACACTGGACCCTACATTGCACCCCAGAATTCTTTGGTAGTCTTCAGATTTCATAATGTCAAAACATCTAGTGCCTGAAGCAGCAAAACATAAGTGAACCTCCACTATGTTTGACTGTAAGGACTGTAGTCTTTTCTTTAGCCATTTTCCATCCAGAGGATTTAGCCCCCTTCCTGACCAGGCCATTATTTGCGATACGGCGCTGCGGTATTTTAATTGACAATAATCCGGTCATGCAACGCTGTACATAAATTTATGTCCTTTTTTTTTTCCCCCACAAATAGAGCTTTCTTTCGGTGGTATTTGATCACCTGTGCGCTTTTTATTTTTTTGCGAATATACAAAATAAGACTGACCATTTTGGAAAAAAAAAACAAAACAATTTTTTTACTTTTTGCTATAAAACATATCCAGTAACAAAATTTTAAAAATCTAATTTCGTCATAAATTTAGGCCAAAATGTATTCTGCTACATGTGTTTGCTAAAAAAAATCCCAATATGTGTAAATTACCGTATTTTTCGCTCCATAAGACGCACCTGACCATAAGACGCACCCTAGGTTTTAGAGGCTGAAAACAGGAAAAAAAAACATTTCTGAACTAATGGACTGCAGACATAGTACAGGAGATGACCAGAGACTGCAGACATAGTAGAGGAGATGACCAGAGACTGCAGACATAGTAGAGGAGATGACCAGAGACTGCGGACACAGTACAGGGGATGACCAGAGACTGCGGACACAGTACAGGGATGACCAGAGACTGCGGACACAGTACAGGGATGACCAGAGACTGCGGACACAGTACAGGAGATGACCAGAGACTGCGGACACAGTACAGGGGATGACCAGAGACTGCGGACACAGTACAGGGGATGACCAGAGACTGCGGACACAGTACAGGGGATGACCAGAGACTGCGGACACAGTGCAGGGGATGACCAGAGACTGCGGACACAGTACAGGGATGACCAGAGACTGCGGACACAGTACAGGAGATGACCAGAGACTGCGGACACAGTACAGGAGATGACCAGAGACTGCGGACACAGTACAGGAGATGACCAGAGACTGCGGACACAGTGCAGGAGATGACCAGAGACTGCGGACACAGTGCAGGAGATGACCAGAGACTGCGGACACAGTGCAGGAGATGACCAGAGACTGCGGACACAGTGCAGGGATGACCAGAGATGACTGCGGACACAGTGCAGGGATGACCAGAGACTGCGGACACAGTGCAGGGATGACCAGAGACTGCGGACAGTACAGGAGATGACTGCTGACCTTTGGGGAGGTGGGGAGCGGGTACCTGAATTTGACAGGTACCCGCTCTTACTTCCGCAGAGTTTTTTTTTTTTATCTTACCTGTTCCTCTATCCAGCCACACGCGGTCTTCCCGGCTTCTGTAGTGTGGGCGCTTGTCGGACAGCCGGATGCCCAGTGCGCATGCGCGAGAAGCGATGCGCTTTGTGATTGGTCCGGCGGCTTCTGGGATCTGTCATGTGTCCCAGGTACCGCCTTACCATTCACAAAGAGCACTGCTTCTTGCGCATGCGCACTTGGGACCCGGCTGTCACGCACACTACAGAAGCCGGGAAGACAGCGCGCCGCTGGATAGAGGGACAGGTAAGGTCCCACTGCAGAGCTGAGCAGCCGGCCCCGTATTCTGACACGGCGGCGGTGGAAATACCGGACCGGCCGCTCTATATTTGCTCCATAAGACGCACTGACATTTTCCCCCCTTTTTTGGGGGAAAAAAAGTGCGTCTTATGGAGCGAAAAATACGGTAATTGGTTTAGGCATATGCTATAGCATCTACAAATGGCGGAATGAATACTGGAATTTTTTTCTTTTCATACTAGTAATGGCGGCAATCAGCGACTTATAGCAGGACTGTGGCAGGCATTCTGACACTGGGTGGGAATTGACTAACTGCCACTGACATCCCAATGACACTAATACAGTGATCAGTGCTAATAAAAAGCAGTGACACTGTACTAATGACACTGGGCAGGAAGGGGTTAACATGTGGGGGCAATCAAAGGTTTAACAGTGTGCCGTGGGCTGTTTTACTAGGGAGACATGCTTCTGTGTATTTCTCTGCTGTGCAGAGAAATACACAGCAGCATGTCCTTGCTGGCAGGAGAGAGACCTGTGTTTTACATACAGGTCTCTCGCCTGTCAGCTTTGCCCGATGATCGCCGGGTGGCGGTGGCCAATCTCCCACTGGGACTCAGTGATTGACATCCCTAGCCACCAATGGTGGTGCGCTCCCCCCTACCCGGAAATGCAAATCACGTGTATGTATATGTGATTTTGCGTAGCCCTGCCGCCCTGTAACAGTAGTTCTACTATAGGGCGGCGGGAAAGCGGTTAAAGGCCTAATTTCTTTGTCTGAAACCGGTTGTAGAATGATGGGCTTTACCAAAAAACTGTAATTTTTTTGTTTCGTCTGTCCACCGCACATTCTCCCAAAAGGATTTTGGCTTCCTAAGGTAAGTTTTGGCAAACTCCAATCTGGCTTTTTTTATGTTCCTGTGTCAGCAGTGGTGTCCTCCTTGGTCTCCTGCCATAGCTTCCCTTTTCATACAGATGGCAACATATAGTACGAGGTGACACAGTTGTACCCTGTGCCTGAAGGTGAGCTTGAAGTTGTCTGGAAGTTGATCAAGGTTTTTTTATCCACCATTCAAGCAATCTTTAATCAAATTTTTCTCTTTCATCTACGTCTTCCTTAGCCTACAGTGCCAAAGGCTGTAAACTTCCTGACAATGTTGTGCACAGTGGACACAGGAACATTAAGATCTGTTAATTGATACAGGTGATTTTAATTACAAATTACAGGAGCATCTTGGAATGCAATTATTTCTTACAATTTTGAGAATGTGACAATCTTGTCCAGTTCATTTTTAGAGTTTTGCATGTGTCAGATTTGACTTTTTGTTTCTCCACTTTTTTGTTTCATACCAATACAAAAAAAGAAATAAACAAGAGGCGTCCTAAACATTTGTAATTGCAACATTTTCTGGGTGAAGTGGTGCATTATCTGACAGAAATGCAGGGGTGCCAATATTGTTGGCCATGACTGCATACTAACTACCCTGTAGAAGGATGATCCATTTACTTAACCTATTCTGCGGGTGATTTTGTCCGGTCATGTGGTTGGCTCCCAGTGGCTCCCTTCAAGGGAAAGGAAAGCGCATCAGCAATGGATGCCCTATAGTAAGCCTAAGGGTGACATCATCGCTCAGGTATGCCGTCTGTTGTTGGCGCTCTCTCCTCTCCCCCAAAGCCAGCTGCTAGGGAGATCACATGATTGGACTGGAGCACCATTAGACTAGGTAAGTATATGCATCTTCCTTCTACAGGGTAGTTTGTATAGAAGTTAGAGTGGGGGGGGGGGGGGGTTCGCAGTTTTAAGCTTAGTTAGTTCTAGACTTAAATTCCACTATAAACTGTGCTGGAAAAGATGACAACTGTGATTTTGATAGATTACTTTGGCATAGCACAGACCATTTTTCTCTTTCAGCCACTTTAAGACCTAGTTACTATACCTCCCTTTTGGCTATGTGTCCTGACTGTACTGACCATCGGGGAGCTGTGTATAATGTGTCCATTGTTTGGAGTCACTGATGGAACAAGTGCTGCAGTGAAGCTTTGTCAAACGTTGTCAGTACTTCACTGTCTGCATGTGAATGAGTATAATGAGTACAAAATTGCACAATGTGTCCCAATCGCAATGAATTGAAGGTTAGAATGAATGCAAGAACAAAAATATAGTATTTAGCAGCTTATCAGTCCTTGGATGTGGTGGACGCACCTTACTGTACCTGTGGAGAAGCAGTGTTGGCATCCTCGGAAGTTTGGTAGAACTATAGAACACCACATTCACCTCTTTTCAAATAAGAGAAGTTCATTATTCCTGCTTTACCTGTAGATTTATCAGATCTTCAGGTAAAGTAGGAACCTTTTTAACCACTTTACTATTGCTGTATGTTTTAAACTGGCGCAGTGGTGGACGTGATGTTCCTGATTGCTGTTTAAAATGGCACTCTTTATATTGCCTGGGAATGAACAATGTTAAGGCCTCATGCACACTGAAATGTTTTTCTGCTGGCCGCAGAAAAATGCTACAGGTGCGTAAATGTGGCACCGCCTTTTGCAGAGTTTAGCACTTAGACACCTGTTCCTTTCATTGGCCAGAGTACATACTAATTGATATGAATAAACTCCTAAACGCGGTTAGCTCATAGGCATATTTAGATGCGTTTAGACGTGGTTACATGTGTTTTGCCACGATTTTAGCATTTTTGTCCAAAACATTCCTCTCATTGAATGCGATTCTTCTGCGTTCGGGAGAGGGATGTTTTACTGGCCCTAAACTCTGCTGCTGTTAAACTCTGATAAGGCTGTGTGCATGGACACATAGGCTTTTATTGAGTTGAGTTCAGGGGCTTTGGCAAAAAAAAATGTCAATAGCTCTTGGACTCACATCATGAGCAGCAGTGTGCATGGGGCCTTATGGTTACATTGTGCTTACAGGGCAAATCATAGGCAGAAGGCCCCGAGCCAATCAGAGTGCCTCTGTGCCTAGTCTTTACTGTGATAGCCAGCCACTGCAATCACATATTTAACAGTACTACTGTTTTTTTACATTTGAGAGCCCTCTCTTCCCTCTCACAATGGAGGAAAGGGAGGAAGGGGAAGGACCATATAAATGAAGATTTATTGTAATTTCTAGCATGGTTAGAACTGGCTTGTGTCTGCATTCAGGGTCTGTACTTCTATTGACCTAAGAGTTTCTTTCTAAATGTGCTCTTGAACCATACCTGCCATCAGAGAACAACATAGATTGCCCATACTGGCCTCCTGAAATATACACATACAATGGCTTATCTTCAGTAACTGTGCCCTAGGTTCACAACAAGAGAAATCCGTATTCTTCATCAACCTAGTTTACGGTGTCTGAGAAAGAAGTGATGACAAAGGAAAACTTGGATTTTGAGTACCAGAAGTCAGCAGTGTCATCTCACATACTTATGTCACCACAGGTGTACCCTTAAAGGGTCAGTTCATATTTTCCAAAAAAATTACCCCAAGTACCACTCTGTTTGCCTTTCAGGGTGATGAGTGGCCTTGGTGCCTTTTTTTGGGCAGTGCGGTCAATAATAATAATAATAATAATAAAAAAAAATTAAAATATATTTATAGAATTGTGTTTGTATATTTTATATTATTATTGGGTTTTTAATTTTTTTTTGTTTAGTATAGGTAGCTCTATCAATAACAGTGCTGTCAATATTTAGGTACACGTGAAGGTAACTCCCATCTTTTTATCTTCTCAATCAGAAGAGGGCAGATTGGACAACTCATCCAGAGATCTGGGAGTTGGAGAACCTCTGGCATTGATAACAAGCACCTCTGACATTTGGAAGCTTCCATAACCCCCCCCCAGGGTATCCCTTAATGGGCAGCATTGGACCATTTTTGGTCACTGTTACCCTTGAATAAAAGAACCTTGCTACATAGAGGTGAATGTTTCATATGCTTTTAAATATAGCCATTTTCAGCACCAACATGTTCTCTAAAGTATTGCTATAAAAAATTACTATAAAAAAAGCTTTCAAGTCTGTTTTATTTTCTAAAAGATAAGACCACATTTCACAATTTTACAGCGTGTTGGCAAAAACAGAGACGTTCTTTTTGCATCCTTGTAAATATCACGTTTGGTGTGACAGACGTTTTGGTAGTTTAGTAAGATAAATTAGTGCATCACTAGAAGGTCACCCCAGACATAAATGATCCAGCCCTACCAGTGAAATCTTCACAAAAAATTGTGGTTTATTTGAAGAGGCAATGCAAAAAGCAGTGATGATTTCCATCATGAGTGCATTATTCTATTGCACCCATAATGCTCCTGTGTTTGTTTATGCACAGATTGTCTGCTGACCCTCTTTCTCTCTACTCTGAATTGCTAGAGAACACATATGCATTTTATTTTACCCCCATCTTTGATCTCAGAAAGGAATGAAGCTAGTTGGCCAGTAAAACACCCAGAAAACTAGCATTTTCATGAGGGGTCAGCAGCAGTAGCTTCTGTATTTCCATCAGGAAAGGTTAACTTTAAGGGCTTATGTACACAAATCAAGCAGCTGCAGATGCAGTATACAGCCTGCTGCCAGACGCATGTCAAAATAAATAATTAATAATAATAGGCTGAAATATGGGGCTGGACTAATATGTCCCTGAAAGATGAAATCGTTAAATGCAAGCACCACTTAATACACTGTACAGCTGCCATGTATTTCAGCATGTTAATAATTTTGACTGGCTGCTGGCAGCATGCTGTATGTTGCACCCACGCCTCCTTTGCGCCCCAAAATGCTGAATTTTTACACTGTACTGGCCAAACTGCCCTTGTTCATAAGCCCTAAAGTGACCCTATACTAAATTGGAAATAAACTGCAAAAAAAACCCTGTAAAAGGAGATATGCTGACCTGT